TTGAAATTTTTGTCCTTTTTGTATACAGGGGTGACATTTGCTGAACGCCAGTCAACTGGGACAATTCCAGTGTCCAGTGATTTTTGGTAGATTAAGTGGAGAATTGGGGCTATGTCGCTGGAGAGCTCCTTTAGTACACGGGGTGAGATGTTGTCAGGGCCTGGAGCTTTGTGTGGGTTTAATTTCCCAAGTAATTTCTCTATTCCTTTGGTGGTGATTTCAGGTTCCTTCATTTTTGGATATTCCTTTGATGTCATACATTTAGATTTCCGAAATTCGTCGAATGATAATGATGTTTTTTCCGAGAATGCTGACTTGAACTGTTGGTTTAGGATGTTTGACTTGGATTTGGCATCTGTGAAGAAGTTCCCATCTAGCTTTAGTGATGTAATTCCGACATTGTCTTTCTTTTTATGTTTTATATATGTCCAAAATCGTTTCATTCCAGAGTAGGTATTGTCTTCTTCCTTGGGTGTTACTATGTTTTCAATGTATTTCCAATATGCTTGTCTGGATGATTTTTGAATTTGTTTTTTTAAGTTACAAGTATTGGGCGATATGTTGTGGGTCACCCGTTTTCTTTTTTTCTTTTGTAGAGTCTTTCCTGTCTCTTAAGTTGTTTTTTGAGTTCCATTCCGATCCACGGGTTCCCGTCTTTATTTTTCGTGTGTTTGTGTGGAATGTTCTTGTTTACTGTTGCCTCTATGAGTGATTTGAAAGAGTCCCACATTTTTGTGACTTCACATTGGCCATCTTGAAACATAGCAGTCATGTTTGGGAGGAGGTCACTGAGGTCTTGTTTCATCGCAGCCCAGTTTGCTTTTTTGTAGAGGGGTATTTGTCTCGGCTTTTGTCGGTGGATCACTGGTCTAAAATCTACCTCTGCATAAACAATGTCATGGTCCGAGATTCCTGGTAGGACGTCAGTTCTTGTTACTTTGCTTGGACAGTTTGTCAGTAGATGATCCAGTGTGTTTGTTTTCCTGGTGCTTGTTTCGATGTGTTGGACAAGATGGGTTTTGTCGATTAAACTCCTGAATTGATTGTGGAGGTGAGGATGGGCGGTGTTTGGTTTCAGTGTGTTGTTTTTCCAATCCCATCCTGGAAAGTTGAAGTCCCCTCCTATGACAATTGCTGCGTTTCTATTTGATGATGCTCGGGCGATGGAAATTTCTAAGTTGATCAAACTGTCCTCGTCTGAAATGTGCCGTCTGTAGTAGGAACACATGTAGATGTTCGCCGTTCCTTTGATTTCAATTTTGGCCCAGACTATTTCACAGTCAGTGTCTAGATCTGGGACAAGTTCGCTGCTGTAATCTTGTTTTGCAGCGATTAGTACACCTCCTCCTCCGGATGATGTTCTGTCCTTACTACGTAGTTCAGGGCATACTTCAGCGTCTTTGATATCGGGTGTTAACCACGTTTCTGTACCAATGATGGTGTCTGGTTTGACGCTTTCTACTACATTTGCTCGTCTGCATTGCTTGCTCTGGATTGATTGAAAGTTGATATTTATAATTCTTAGTTGGGCTTTATTTTTGTTGGGCGGCGGCTTCCTTGTTGGAGTTGAAGTGTGGATTGGTTTAGTTTTTGGTCTAGCGTCTGGACTCGAGAGTGAAGGATCATTTAATGTTGCATTGCGCCCATCGACCGCCTTCTCGAGATTGAAGGACTTTTAACTGTAATATCAGTTGCCATTATTTAAAACTCATCATTAAATGTGCGTGTTCGCTATAAGCAGCTAGCGTTTGTGTTCCAGTCTAAAAAGATTACAATCCCCTAACCCCGTAGGGGTTTGGGGTTATTTTACCTGCCTGCGTGCGCACACGATAAGTGACTTCTCGCAAATATAATCAAATATTGACGTGCGTGATAAATAGTGAAGGAGATGAGGATAGAACATACATTCAAGTTATGGCAGTACACATAATGAAATGTGTTTATGGTAATGAATTGAATGTATTTTAAGGATTCAAATGATATTTTGATCAGTCTGAACATCTTCACCAATGTGTCTTCTGTCGGAACTTTTAACTTTACCACTCCTTATACTACCACAACTCATGATGAGAGATTTCTTTTCCAAGAAAAGCGAACGACGATATTTAAATGGTTGTCAACTACTCTGGAGCATCATTTGTTAAAAACACGACAAAAGCAAATATGAGTTATGGTAACGGGTTGTTTCGCCCCAAATCCCGTTCGCCCTAAGGGTTGTTTCGCCCCAAATCCCGTTCGCCCCAGGTTGTTTCGCCCTAAAAAAAATTTTTTTTCTTTAAGTCATAAATATCATGTTAAAAGTTAAAAAACTTATCTTTCTCTTGAATCAAGATATAATTACGTGCCGGAAGGTGAAGAACGAACCTGTATATTCATCACCGAATCCTACAACGGACATACTAATATCCGGAATATACTGTATATTATCGTTTTCATTTCTTTACCTTAATTAAGTAATGTTGTTCTTTATAAAATGCACCTGTATATATTTTAACGTTAAAAATATTTAAAACATGATATAAACAATTAAAAAGCACCCTGTCACGTCAGCCATTTTATATAAAACAAATTTCTCTTAGTACATAGATACGTATACGAAATGGACATAGATTAGGTACAAATTGCGTATAAGAATGAAAAGAAATTAATACTTTAATTATATATATCTATAATATATAGATAAGATATGGACATATAATGAAACTAAATTAATTTCTCTAAGTACATAGATACGTATACGAAATGGACATAGATTAGTTACAAATTGCGTATATAGACTGAAACTACATACGTATATTAATTGCGTATAAGGATGAAAAAAAACAAATTTTTCTAGAGAAGTATACGAAATGTAAATAATTCCCCAAGTACATAGATACGTATTTTAATTGTTAAGCAGATGTGTACATTTGAATTATGAAATAAACGTTGGCAATTTACTTAGGGAATTATCAAAATACATTAAATATACTTGTATAATAATGTACTTGTCAGTCTGGCAGGTTCTATGCTGCCAGGTTCTATGCTGCCAACAGTCACACACATCACTTCAGATACCATGCTGTCTGCGTCTAACCACGGAGTCGCACAAAATGCACAAATCATCCATAACGTAAATTACGTTATGGATGATTTGTGCATTTTGTAACTTGTCATAAATAGAGCATTTCTCAGTACTGTGTTATAATTCAACATTACTAATGTTGAATTATAACACAGTATTGAAAAATGCTCTATTTATGACAAGTTACCTACTCAAAATTATCTACTCAAATATGCATATTAATTTTTATTGGTCGGTACTATCACGGACTTAAATCTAATTCCGTGGTACTATCAAAACTTCTCAAAATGGACATAATCTCCAATTAGCAAAAAACAACACGGACGTGTGCAGAAATCAAGTAAAGAAAACATCGTCACACGGCGACGAGTATGCGTACAGCCGTACACTAAACTAATTTAAATGTGTTAACATGGAAATAATATTGTTGTATACCCCGCAATTTTTAAAATAACACCATTTTTGTTTCATTTCACTATTCTTACTTAGTTCTAAAATTAAATTCAATATATGTTATAATGTGTGTCGGCGTTAAGAAAGTAACGTAATCCGTTTTTTTGCTTTACAATGTACTTAAAACAACACAAACACATTTTTTTTTTTAAATAAAACTGATTTTATTGATATGAAAGACTAAGAAGACTTAATTTGTGACTTAAAACAAATAAAAATGAAAAGAAAATACCAAACAATGTTTCGCCCTAAAAAATGTTTTAGGGCGAAACAACCTGGCGCGAAACAACCTCGGGCGAAACAACCTGGCGCGAAACAACCTAGGGCGAAACAACCTAGGGCGAACGGGATTTGGGGCGAAACAACCCGGAACCATGAGTTATACCGCGGATGAAATCGAGAATTTTGGAGTTCCTGCATGTTCATGTCAGTTGACGATATATTTCATGAGTTGAAGTGTCAATTATTTTTTTCAGAAGGCTGTACACATTCATATGTAAACAAATTGTGTCGTGATGTTCGCCTTTACAGGATATTTTTTAAGTAACTTTGAAGTCCGAAAATGATGGACATCGAACATCCTCATGAGCAGATGATTAGAACTCCCGAAAAAATTATCGGACTTGAGCAAGGCTGTGAACACCATTAGTAGTCCGAGACTTTATAGGTATGGGCAAATATCTCCTAAAATGCATTGTATGGGGGTCGGGGTTAAATTAAGAGATGACGCGTTCGCATCCTTAATAGATCGATTCTTTCGGGATTCTCTGGCAATATCTCAATGTACCATGAAAACCTTTAAACTTCCGAATTGACGTACTGTAGTGTTATTCGCGAGAATCCTACTTCCTGCTTGACACATTTGCAATTATCCAATGTTATTCTTTCGTTGTCCTCAATATTATGACTTAATGCACAAATCATCAGCGTAGTTCAGACAATCGCCTGGGAAATTAAGTAAGTTACAGTATGGATAAAATACATACACTATCTAAATTGGCGTTATAGCAACCTTTACACATACGAACAGTGCTTGTGACTTGTGTTTATACTGTATAAAACAGGTAATGCGTATAACAAATGGGCTAATCTCGTAGAATTATACGGTCCACTTACAATCTGCATCTTCTCTTATTGACTTCCTCCGTCGATACCGACGATTACGGAAGTAATGTAAGTCCATCTCCGGACACTTGGGAGGTAAGATATTTCTCCTACAAGAAGGATTGATACCAATAGTATATGTCCTCTGATCCTTTATATATATGAATTTGAACAGCCAATCATGCAAGTTGATGATGGTGTTCGAACAGCTTCCGTATCCTGTGACAGAGCTCATAGGCATGATGCATGACATTGTTATATCTTACATGTGTCCTAGAGGGTGGAAATATATTGTTAAAAAAAATTAAACACAATAAGTTGTTTTAGAATGTTGTGAATAGCATATACCTGGTGAGTCTCAAAAATAATTCAAATGAAATTGTCAATGCAGTAGGCCTACCACAAGTCCTAGACGGCTTGCGGCTGGTGGATGAGGAAGGATTTTGTATTACATATTTTCATTAAATTGTATTGGCATCTGCAGCCTTACTCCACCTGCTATACAATATTGTCAATAAATACAGCACAGCTTCCAAGGGTCAACACCACCAGGTATGGAAAGAGGTCCTTCCGCTATGAGGGCGCCCGCATTTGGAACAGCCTGCCGAACGAATTGCGTAAAGTGGAGAACTACTCCGAGTTCGGCAGACTGATCCGTAGGTGGTACGGGCCCGAGTGCGGATGCACTTTATGTGTTGGTTAGCGTTTTTGGCTACCTATTTTTTCCTGCTTTGTATGTGTCCTGTGCTGGCTGAAGTGTATTGTTTAAAATATAACGGGCAGCTTTACATATGGCTCTGTGCTTTTTGTCAGCTTTGTAGTTTACAATTTGATGCTTTTGTCATATGTTTATTTTCTGCAAATGTGCTGTACATGCTTCATATTTTTACTGCTTAACGTTTCAATGTGTATGTATTTTTGTAAAAGTTTTCTTGTTATGTATTTTTTGTTCTTTACATGTGTTTGTCGAAATACAAGCTCTTCGTAGCTTATGTTGTATGTTTATAATATTCGACGTAAAATAAAGCTTCTGTATCTGTATCTGTATAAATGAGGGGAGGGTAACTACGGAGACTCTACATAGATTTACGTGTAAAAGCCAACTGTCTGGTGTGTGACAGCCCTTAGCAAAAAAATGATAATGCTAATAGCATGAGTGCTGATTAATTCCAGCACATAATATGCATGAACACAACTGTAGCAAACTTTTCATTGGCTGCCACTTCTATCTAAAAATCCTTAATAACCAACTTGTGAAATTATAATGTACATTTGTAAATAAACAAGTGGTCAGCGCCCTGAATTGATTTAAATGATTGAATTCTTAATTACAGATATAAATAATCTGTCGTTTTATTCAAAGTTACATCATGCCATCAATGACAGCTAGTTTTCCGAGTTGTAATGTGTTTGTTATTTGTTTTTGTGACATGACAAAGCAAAGCAGTGCATATATAAATCAAAGACAGCTTTTTAACTGATGAAATAAAAACCTTTGTTTTAGCAATTTCATTTCAGTTCCAAGATAAAGAGGATATTTGATTATGTCGTCAGTAATAACAAATATATTTCACGAGTGTGGCTAATATTTTGATATTTTACACGAGTGCGCAGCATGAGTGAAAAATATCAAAATACTAGCCACACGAGTGAAATATATTTGTTATTACTGAAGACACCATTAAATTTTCTATTTATTACATTTTTAAAGCATAAAACATGAAAAATGTAATGCATTAAAAAAGGGCGGGAATCAGGAGCGTAATAATTAGCGCCATATCCTAATGGCGTCACACTTGACAACAAGGCTGCGTGCCATTTTGAATTGGATACTTAACGCAATTCCAACGTTTTCTGCTGTTTTCTGGTATTATTGCTTATAAAAATGTTATCAATTGTATGTTTAGGTAAGTGTGTGTACCAAACATTTACCATAACAACCACTTATTCTACCATCGCTTCATTTGAATCCGAACAAAAAATAGTTGCCTATGATTGGAGCGAATAGAAGATACCGTTATGATTGGTCAATATCAAAAAGTGATATTTTCACACTGAAAATATCACTTTTGATATTTGTCACAGTGTGAAAGATATCAGTTTATCAAGTTGATAGAATCCGATATTTCACTGGCAAAAATGTAATAAATATCCATCTTTTCTATAGGACTCACTTTTGGGTGGCCTTGATCCTTGTAGTGTACATGTGTTCACTTTAAAAAAAAAAAAAGGTTAGTCATGCATGAATTTTTGGATCTTATTTACCATCCAATAATTTGAATTATACATGTAGCTAATTAAAGATCAGTTAAGATAAGAATATGTATTCCATTATATTACTAAACTGTACATTGTCCTTTAAGAGTGTTATACTAATGAGATGCGACATAAGGAAGCCAGCATCAAGTTAACCTTGACAGAGAAATGTCTCATGTAGATGGCCCAATGTCTCATGTAGATGGCCCATTGGCTCATGTACATGGCCCAATGTCTCATGTAGATGGCACAATGGCTCATGTAGATGGCCCGTTGGCTCATGTAGATGGCCCAATGGCTGATGTAGATGGCCCAATGTCTCATGTAAATGGCCCATTGGCTCATGTAGATGGACCAATGGCCCATGTATATGGCCCAATGTCTCATGTAGAAGGCCCATGTAGTTGGCCCAATGTCTCATGTAGAAGGCCCAATATCTCATGTAGATGGCCGAATGGCTCATGTAGATGGCCCATGTAGATGGCCAAATGTCTCATGTAGATGGCCGACGGTCTCATGTAGATGGCCCAATATCTAATGTAGATGGCCTAATGTCTCGTGTAGATGGGCCAATGTCTCATGTAGATGGCCCAATATCTCATGTAGGTGGCCTAATGTCTCATGTAGATGGCACAATGTCTCATGTAGATGGCCGACGGTCTCATGTAGATGGCCCAATTATCCATCTTTTCTATAGGACTCACTTTTGGGTGGCCTTGATCCTTGTAGTGTACATGTGTTCACTTTAAAAAAAAAAAAAGGTTAGTCATGCATGAATTTTTGGATCTTATTTACCATCCAATAATTTTAATTATACATGTAGCTAATTAAAGATCAGTTAAGATAAGAATATGTATTCCATTATATTACTAAACTGTACATTGTCCTTTAAGAGTGTTACACTAATGAGATGCGACATAAGGAAGCCAGCATCAAGTTAGCCTTGACAGAGAAATGTCTCATGTAGATGGCCCAAGGTCTCATGTAGATGGCCCATTCTTGTAGTGTACATGTGTTCACTTTAAAAAAAAAAAAAGGTTAGTCATGCATGAATTTTTGGATCTTATTTACCATCCAATAATTTTAATTATACATGTAGCTAATTAAAGATCAGTTAAGATAAGAATATGTATTCCATTATATTACTAAACTGTACATTGTCCTTTAAGAGTGTTATACTAACGAGATGCGACATAAGGAAGCCAGCATCAAGTTAACCTTGACAGCGAAATGTCTCATGTAGATGGCCGCATGTCTCATGTAGATGGCCTAATGTCACGTGTAGATGGCCCAATGTCTCCTGTAGATGGCCCATTGGCTCATGTAGATGGACCAATGGCTCATGTAGATGGCTGAATGTCTCATGTAGATGGCCGACGGTCTCATGTAGATGGCCCAATATCTCATGAAAATGGCCTAATGTCTCATGTAGATGGCACAATGGCTCATGTAGATGGCCCATGTACATAGCCCAATGTCTTATGTAGATGGCCAATGTCTCATGTAGATGGACGAATGTCTCATGTAGATGGCCGACGGTCTCATGTAGATGGCCCAATATCTCATGTAGATGGCCTAATGTCTCATTTAGATGGCCCAATGTCTCATGTAGAAGGCCCATGTAGTTGGCCCAATGTCTCATGTAGAAGGCCCATGTAGTTGGCCCAATGTCTCATGTAGAAGGCCCATGTAGTTGGCCCAATGTCTCATGTAGATGGTCGAATGTCTCATGTAGATGGCCTAATGTCTCGTGTAGATGGCCCAATGTCTCATGTAGATGGCCCATGTAGATGGCCCAATGTCTTATGTAGATGGCCCATGTCTCATGTAGATGGCCCAATGTCTCATGTAGATGGCCCAATGGCTCATGTAGATGGCCCAATGTCTCATGTAGATGGCCAAAGGTCAAAGGTGTTGTGTTCAAATAAAACACTGTATTTTTGCATTGATGTGATCCATCCAAAAGGTGAACTTTGTTTAACATAATAGACACAGTTTCTCATTTTCATAAGTTACCCTGGAATTGTATTCTTAATGATGTTTTTATCTTTTTAAGGATGCCCCCAAAATTTGTTCGTAACCCTGGAAGTGGTGATTATGCCTCATCTAGAAGTGCAGAGACTGTAAGTATTTAACTAAATTGTAAATAATCAGTGACATTTATTTAATGTGAACAGCCCTTGACAAATTCACAGTGTAAATAACCTAATTCTTATATAATATAAATATAAGAAGGTCACAAGTATTTAATGGAAATCATCAGTGATCATGTATGATCGAAAAAGATTGAGAGGAAATACAGGTTTTAGCTACTAAATGATAAATCAATGCTGACAAACACAGAATACAGCATAAAGCAGTAATCTATATTATACAATACACTGTTTCAGAGGGCTTTGCTTGAGGCAGGATCTGATGAGGAAGATTTCTTCTTGCAGTAAGTGTATATTAAAACAGTACTACATTACCAGTAAATTGGCTTGCCCTTCCTTTTTCCTAACTGACTTCACTTCTAAAATAGGCCCTTGGGTCTGTTCCTGTCCCAGATACTTAGTCCCTTTGTCACAACATAGAAATTGTTGAGATTCCCACACTATAACCAAATGTACAATTGACAGTCATGAAGAGAATAAATACATGTGCCTAATGCTCGTCCCTTGGGACGCATTCTTTGGGTCATATGATAACTTAAAAACATTTGTTAGCAGGATAAAACTTGTTTTCTATGAACGCTTAAATATCCAGATGAGCAATACAGACCCTCTAGGCCTTTTGTTTGAATACATGAATAGGTATTCCAATGTTTATAGTTGGCAATCAAAGGAACTGATGTTTTCCCTGTATTCTATGTTTCAGAGGTCCCACCGTGAAAACCAATTCACTGCGGGAGGACCCCAAGATGGGCAGGTAGGATTAAGTAGTGTGGACTTGTGTGACACTAGTCTGATTTATACCATTGGTGTTACTGGGACTAGTCTGATTTATACCATTGGTGTTCCTGGGGGGATTAAGTAGTGTGGACTTGTGTGACACTAGTCTGATTTATACCTTTGGTGTTACTGGGAGGATTAAGTAGTGTGGACTTGTGTGACACTAATCTGATTTATACCATTGGTGTTACTGGGACTAGTCTGATTTATACCATTGTTGTTACTGGGACTAGTCTGATTTATACCATTGGTGTTACTGGGGGGATGAAGTAGTGTGGACTTGTGTGACACTAGTCTGATTTATACCATTGGTGTTACAGGGACTAGTCTGATTTATACCATTGGTGTTACTGGTAGGATTAAGTAGTGTTGACTTGTGTGACACTAGTCTGATTTATACCATTGGTGTTACTGGGGGGATTAAGTAGTGTGGACTTGTGTGACACTAGTATGATTTATACCATTGGTGTTACTGGGACTAGTCTGAATTATACCATTGGTGTTACTGGGACTAGTCTGATTTATACCATTGTTGTTACTGGGACTAGTCTGATTTATACCATTGGTGTTCCTGGGGGGATTAAGTAGTGTGGACTTGTGTGACACTATTCTGATTTATACCATTGGTGTTACTGGGACTAGTCTGAATTATACCATTGGTGTTACTGGGACTAGTCTGATTTGTACCATTGGTGTTACTGGGACTAGTCTGATTTATACCATTGGTGTTACTGGGGGGATGAAGTAGTGTGGACTTGTGTGACACTAGTCTGATTTATACCTTTGGTGTTACTGGGAGGATTAAGTAGTGTGGACTTGTGTGACACTAGGCTGATTTATACCATTGGTGTTACTGGGACTAGCCTGATTTATACCATTGGTGTTACTGGGGGGATTAAGTAGTGTGGACTTGTGTGACACTAGTATGATTTATACCATTGGTGTTACTGGGACTAGTCTGAATTATACCATTGGTGTTACTGGGACTAGTCTGATTTGTACCATTGGTGTTACTGGGACTAGTCTGATTTATACCATTGTTGTTACTGGGACTGGTCTGATTTTTACCATTGGTGTTACTGGGACTAGTCTGATTTATACCATTGGTGTGACTGGGACTAGTCTGGTTTATACCATTGGTGTTACTGACACTAGTCTGATTTATACCATTGGTGTTACTGGGGGGATTAAGTAGTGTGGACTTGTGTGACACTATTCTGATTTATACCATTGGTGTAACTGGTAGGATTAAGTAGTGTGGACTTGTGTGACACTAGCCTGATTTATACCATTGGTTTTACTGGGACTAGTCTGCTTTATACCATTGGTGTTTCTGGGACTAGTCTGATTTTTACCATTGGTGTTACTGGCACTCTTGTGTGACACTATTCTGATTTTTACCATTGGTGTTACTGTGAGTAGTCTGATTTATACCAGTGGTGTTACTGGGACTAGGCTGGTTTATACCATTGGTGTTTCTGGGACTAGTCTGATTTTTACCATTGGTGTTACTGGCACTCTTGTGTGACACTATTCTGATTTTTACCATTGGTGTTACTGGCACTCTTGTGTGACACTATTCTGATTTATACCATTTGTGTAACTGGTAGGATTTAGTAGTGTGGACTTGTGTGACACTAGACTGATTTATACCATTGGTTTTACTGGGACTAGTCTGACTTATACCATTGGTGTTAGTGGTAGGATTAAGTAGTGTTTACTTGTGTGACACTATTCTGATTTATACCATTGGCGTTACTGGGACTAGTCTGATTTGTACCATTGGTGTTACTGGGGCTAGTCTGATTTATACCCTTGGTGTTACTGGGACTAGGCTGATTTATACCATTGGAGTTACTGGGACTAGTCTGACTTATACCATTGGTGTTACCGACACTAGTCTGATTTATACATTGGTGTTACTGGGAGTAGTCTGATTTATACCAGTGGTGTTACTGGGACTAGTCTGACTTATACCATTGGTGTTACCGACACTAGTCTGATTTATACCATAGGTGTTACTGGGACTAGCCTGATTTATACCATAGGTGTTACTGGGACTAGGCTGGTTTATACCATTGGTGTTTCTGGGACTAGTCTGATTTGTACCATTGGTGTTACTGGGAGGATTAAAGAGTGGGGACTTGTTTGACACTAGGCTGATTTATACCATTGGTGTTAGGACTGGGCTGATTTATAAATGTACCATTGGTGTTACTGGCACTCTTGTGTGACACTATTCTGATTTTTACCATTGGTGTTACTGGGAGGATTAAGTAATATGGACTTGTGTGACACTATTCTGATTTATACCATTGGGGTTACTGACACTAGTCTGATTTATGCCATTGGTGTTACTGGGGGGATTACGTAGTGTGGACTTGTGTGACCCTAGTCTGATTTATACCCTTGGTGTTACTGGGACTTGTCTGATTTATACCATTGGGGTTACTGGGACTAGTCTGACTTATACCATTGGTGTTACGGGGACTAGTCTGTTTTATCCCATTGGTGTTACTGGGGCTACTCTGATTTATACCATCGGTGTTACTGGGAGGATTAAGTAATATGGACTTGTGTGACACTAGACTGATTTATACCATTGGTTTTACTGGGACTAGTCTGTTTTATCCCATTGGTGTTACTGGGGCTAGTCTGATTTATACCAGTGGTGTTACTGGGACTAGGCTGGTTTATACCATTGGTGTTACCGACACTAGTCTGATTTAATACCATTGGTGTTACTGGTGGGATGAAGTAGTGTGGACTTGTATGACACTAGTCTGAGTTATACCATTGGTGTTAGTGGTAGGATTAAGTAGTGTTTACTTGTGTGACACTATTCTGATTTATACCATTGGTGTAACTGGTAGGATTAAGTAGCGAGGACTTGTGTGACACTAGCCTGATTTATACCATTGGAGTTACTGGGAGGATTAAGTAATATGGACTTGTGTGACACTAGTCTGATTTATGCCATTGGTGTTACTGGGCGGATTAAGAAGTGTGGACTTGTGTGACCCTAGTCTGATTTATACCACTGGTGTTACTGGGGGGATGAAGTAGTGTGGACTTGTATGACACTAGTCTGAGTTATACCATTGGTGTTACTGGTGGGATGAAGTAGTGTGGACTTGTATGACACTAGTCTGAGTTATACCATTGGTGTTACCGACACTAGTCTGATTTAATACCATTGGTGTTACTTGGACTAGTCTGATTTATGCCATTGGTGTTAGGACTGGGCTGATTTATAAATGTACCATTGGTGTTACTGGGGCTACTCTGATTTATACCATCGGTGTTACTGGGAGGATTAAGTAATATGGACTTGTGTGACACTAGACTGATTTATACCATTGGAGTTACTGGGAGGATTAAAGAGTGGGGACTTGTTTGACACTAGGCTGATTTATACCATTGGCGTTACTGGGACTAGTCTGATTTGTACCATTGGTGTTACTGGTAGGATTAAGTAGCGAGGACTTGTGTGACACTAGACTGATTTATACCATTGGAGTTACTGGGAGGATTAAGTAGGGTGGACTTGTGTGACACTAGCCTGATTTATACCATTGGTTTTACTGGGACTAGTCTGCTTTATACCATTGGTGTTTCTGGGACTAGTCTGATTTTTACCATTGGTGTTACTGTGAGTAGTCTGATTTATACCAGTGGTGTTACTGGGACTAGGCTGATTTATACCATTGGTGTTTCTGGGACTAGTCTGATTTGTACCATTGGTGTTAATGGGAGGATTAAGTAGTGTACTGGGGGGATTAAGTAGTTTGGACTTGTGTGACACTATTCTGATTTTTACCATTGGTGTTACTGGTAGGATTAAGTAGCGAGGACTTGTGTGACACTATTCTGATTTATACCATTTGTGTAACTGGTAGGATTTAGTAGTGTGGACTTGTGTGACACTCGTCTGATTTATACCATTGGAGTTACTGGGACTAGTCTGCTTTATACCATTGGTGTTACTGGTGGGATGAAGTAGTGTGGACTTGTGTGACACTAGACTGATTTATACCATTGGCGTTACTGGGACTAGTCTGATTTGTACCATTGGTGTTACTGGGGCTAGTCTGATTTATACCGTTGGTGTTACTGGGAGGATTAAAGAGTGGGGACTTGTTTGACACTAGGCTGATTTATACCATTGGTTTTACTGGGACTAGTCTGTTTTATACCATTGGTGTTAGTGGTAGGATTAAGTAGTGTTTACTTGTGTGACACTATTCTGATTTATACCATTGGCGTTACTGGGACTAGTCTGATTTTTACCATTGGTGTTACTGGCACTCTTGTGTGACACTATTCTGATTTTTACCATTGGTGTTACTGGCACTCTTGTGTGACACTATTCTGATTTATACCATTTGTGTAACTGGTAGGATTAAGTAGCGAGGACTTGTGTGACACTATTCTGATTTTTACCATTGGTGTTACTGCGGGGATTAAGTAGTGTGGACTGGTGTGACACTAGTCTGATTTATACCCTTGGTGTTACTGGGACTAGGCTGGTTTATACCATTGGTGTTTCTGGGACTAGTCTGATTTTTACCATTGGTGTTACTGGGCGGATTAAGAAGTGTGGACTTGTGTGACCCTAGTCTGATTTATACCATTGGTGTTACTGGGACTGGTCTGATTTATAAATGTACCATTGGTGTTACTGGGAGGATTAAGTAGTGTGGACTTGTGTG